GTTATCTTGTTAAATTTCAAAGAAATGCACAGCAAGTCGTCCCTTTGTGCGCCCCCACTTCTGCGAATCGGGTTTTGAAATGCAGCTGATTTGACCGTCAAAGTGCATTTATTACGTAAAAGTTCAACTGAGACACACCTTTGATACAATTTTGAGCAAACAAATAATTGTTTTAAGTGTTAATCTTGACACGTCAGCGGTGATGCATAATAGATGCGAAATATACGGCGAAGCAACATGTTTTTGTTTTTTCCCCACAGACATATTTGGTCTGATGTGACCTATACGGCAGAAAATATGGCACAGTTGAGAAGGGGGTCTCTGCAGACCAAAAGTGGGCGTTTCTGGCGAATAGGCGTTTGTCGGCGGCGAACACTGATTGGCTGTGGGTAACCCTCAAAGTCACGAGGATTATTGATGAGGTAACGTTTCTTTGCGATGTTTGACAAAGAAATATGATTTATTGTACTTATAAAGCATGTTATGTTTTCACTTATGCATTTTATTGAAGTACGTTTATTGTAGGTCACGATAGTTTCGACCGTTCTCTCGTTGTTGTCGTAACACACTGAGGTAACGTGAGCCTCCACAGCAGCTCTCACTGTGCACGTTTACAACAACTGGGTGTTGCTTTTCAAAATAAAAGCTGAAAATAAAAGTTCTTAATACTTGAAAAATAAATATTTTAAAGCTGTGTATAACTGAAAAATATGAAAAACAAATAAATAAAAGTTGTTATTAGCTGAAAAATAAATAAATAAAAGCTGTTAATTATATCTATATCTTTCTGCCATGTCAGGGACCACTCTCACTTCAGGTTGACTCTAGAAGACCCCAAGATGTTGCCCAACAATGTTGACCAACATCAGATGTTGACTTTCAAAATAAATCCCCTCCAAAGTTTAACATAGTTCATAGTAATAGTCAAAAGTTGCTGACGTTGTTGCAACATGAGTTAACACAAACATGAGTGTAAATTGTCAATGATTCAATAATGAGTAATAACTTATTCAATAAAAAGTCTGTAATTTGTCAATAATAGTCAATAATTCATTCAAGAATAGATTATGGGTGTTGGGTATGGCTCAGTGGCTAAAATGGGTTGGATGTTAGAGAAATTACTTAATTTTCAATTACCTGAATGCACAAATTCCTTCATTTATAGTTAAACTTTAGGAAATCAACTTTTTTTTCCTTGTGAAAAAAATATCAAAATTAACTTTAAAATCCAATCCAGGATTAAGTAACAACTAGCAACACCCTAACTGTACTATGTTCTGTGTTTCCAACAGATGCTACGATGACTTCTAAAAATGGATGTCCCAATAAACACAATTAAAAAATTCAATGATACATCAAATGCTGTCTGAGTATGTTTTAAGGTAATAACAAATGTGAAATCTGGAAAACAAAGAGAATTCCTGAATCTGTCTTGTGTGCTTTGATGTGTACATAAGTTTATTGGAGGTCCTGAAACAACTTTTCTGAGAACACAAAGATTTTTATTTTACCTTTGGCCAAGATGTCAGTTTGAAATCAGGCTGCTTACTGCAAAACCAAGAGGTTTTTTAAGACGGTCTTCATTTGTATTGTTTTGTCGATTAAGTTAAATGTAATTTCTAAAATATGGATAATCTGATCTCATCATGCAGCATGAGCAACTGGGTACAGGTGTGAGGGCCAAAAGTCTGGTTATGTACTGACTCCTAAATGTGCTTGTTTTCTACTGAAACATGGAGTAGGGTTGACCTTTAAAATGTGAGACATCTGAGGAAGTTAACCAGTAAACAGAAATACCTGCTCCAGTTGCAGAAATCTTACAGAAACTGACATCACTCATCTGTAGTGACTGCAGGTTGAACAAGAAAATGTGAAGTTAAAGGAAACCTCCTTTGTCCCAAGGCCAGTTTAAGTATCATTAATATTTTTCTTTCTTTATGAATCGATTGTAACTTTGTTCACATTTTTCAACAACCAAAATGGAATTTGTTTTTTAATGTTATGGCTTGGTATTAAAAAAAAAACCTAACATTTAGCTCTCCCCACTACCCAGTTCTGTTGCTCTTATTTTGAAATGTAACCGGAAGTTCTGTGTTAAGAGAGTCGAAAAAAGAAGTTATGGAGACGCCGCGGCAGTATACTGGAGCGATGTCGAACCGAGACGCCGCTAATGTCGAACCGGTTAACACCATAGACATAATATGCCTGTGGTTAACACAATCTGCCAATAACGCCTTGTTTTTAGACATCATGTGTCTGTGGTTACGGCATTTTATCGTTCAGCCTTTTTTTTTCTATCGTTCAGCCTTTTTTTTTCTATCGTCCAATCAGATGTGGCCGTCCAGACACGCCCATTTT